TTAGGGTCAGATTATTCACTGTCAGTTCAGCGTTAGATTATTCAGGGTCAGATTATTCACTGTCAGTTCAGCGTTAGATTATTCAGGGTCAGATTATTCACTGTCAGTTCAGGGTTAGATTATTCAGGGTCAGATTATTCACTGTCAGTTCAGGGTCAGATTATTCACTGTCAGTTCAGCTTTAGATTATTCTGTTTCAGATTACTCAGGGTCAATTTAATCAGGGTCAATTCGGGGTCAGATTATTCATATTCAGATTACTCAGGGTCAGATTATTATTCAGGGACTAGAACGACCCGATGTTTTTCAGAATGTTAGCAGAGCATCATGGAGGCAGCCGACAGCTTTCCCACGATTAGCAGAATAATCTGTTTAATCTAAGCTGGCCGCTGAGCTGTGTGACGGCAGCTGAAGGATCCACAGCCAAGCGTTTCCAGCCTTCATGTTTTTCGAGGCTCTAATAAACCGACTCGTTAGGAGGACGCAGCGTCCGACACGCCCGCCGCTGGGCAGCGTGTTTTACAGCGTTTGGTGCAAACGTCCCGCGCCCAGAGTGTCCTCTCTGGTTTCTGCGTTCCGGTGACGGTTAGAGGATTAGGGCCATGGATGTGCGGCGGTGACTCACCGTGATGCCTTCAGCTTCATACTCATCCTGCTCCGACTTCAGCGTGAGCTCGATGAAGAGCTGCTGCAGCTTCTCGTTACAATAGTTGATGCAAAACTGCTCAAAGCTGCAGGACAAAGAAAGAAGAATATCAGAGAGTCGCTTTATTTATCATTAACATGATGAGATTCACTGTGAAATAATTCAATGTCCCATTAAATGAAAATATATTTAAAGCAATTTATTTAATCAAAAATACATTTATCTAAAACATATTCAAAATATTACGTATATGAATAAATATTAAATGCACAGTTAAATATGTCCAGTTAAGTTATTAAAATCAGTTTTAAATAATAAATGATCACATTTTATTTAAAAAATAAATGCATTTATTTATTTTATTCATGATTGTAATGTAAAAAAACTGATATAATATACACAATGAAATAATTAGAAATACAATAAAAATAATAAACTAAATAAGATATTTATTATTAAATAATTACAATTCATTTCAAAACAGATAATTAATTATTATCACTTTATCAGAAATATGATTCAATTGATAAATACCTTAAAATTATAAAATGTGCAAAATGTACATATAAGTAACACATTTAAACTAATAAATTCAAAGGTAAAATCTTTTTAAAACAGATCATTTTATTTAAATCCTAATAATTTGTTATTTTTGAGCCACAGGCTGAAAAGTTTGGGACGCTCTGCACTAACAGAGGAATAATCTGCAGCTGCCTGCAGCGGAGCTCTGTCAGGTCAGCATACCCCGTCAGACCAGCATACTCCATCAGACCAGCATACCTATAGTCACTACGCAGCGCAACATATCAGATCTGCATTTATTTAGTTTGTATGAAAAATAGACTTTAAACAGGCGTGTATATCCCTTAGTCAGGTACAAAAAAACTATTTCAGGTCAGATCGCCATACGCTTCAAAAAACACCAAAAAGTACCTCATTAAATACTTTTTTTTTTTTTTTTACATGACTAAAAGGATACAAGTCTATTTTTGTAAAAAAAACTAAATGGATAAATTGACTATGGGTATGCTGGTCTGACGGCGTATGCTGGTCTGACGGCGTATGCTGGTCTGACGGCGTATGCTGGTCTGACGGCGTATGCTGGTCTGACAGAACAGCTGCGTTGCCTCAGTGACACCAGGTTCACCTGTTGTGCTGGAAGACCTCGAAGCCGTAGATGTCCAGCAGGCCGATAACGGAGAAGTTACTGTGAGCCTCATCCTGTTGAAGACAGAGAGGAAACAATGAGATCCGTGGCCACCAGGTGGAGCTGTGGAGCTGCAGACGGAGCAGCAGCTCTGCTTTCACATGTCTGGACCTTGTATTCCAGGGAGGCGTTGATCTTGTTGACCAGCCAGGTGAAGGTGCGTCCGTACACGGCCTTGGACAGAGCATCTCTAGCGGAGGACGCCTGCTCCAGGTTCAGAGGGCTCACCAGCTGGACAGACACAATGAGGAACAGAACCCCCCCACAGCCGGGGGCCAGGCGGCCGCGTTATTCCTCTGAGCCACAGCAGACAGCCATCATGCAGGGACGGCGTGGCTCCAAACATACCTCCTCTCCCTTGGCGATTATCTTCTTGTGTGTGAGAGCCTCTGTCAGCACCGTCCCATTCACCCCTAACAACTGGAAAATCACAACGTCAGTGACAGACCCCCCTCCTCCTGGCAAACGCCATGACATGTCTGTGGTTAGCAAGGACGGAAAAACAGACGGGAAATGGACCGAAGGACCGAAAGGGTCCGAACTGAAGATCAAACGGGAAAAACTTTTAGAGGCAAAATACTGAAAAAGAAAAATAGAGATAAAGGAGGAAGGAAGATGGTCTATGGTGGAACAGGAACCAGATACAGTCCAGCTTCTTCCAGACGACTGGAAGAAAGTCCTGGTAACAGATCGTATTCTGGAGAAATTAAGAATTTATAGAATTTATTAAGTGTTTGCAAAACAAATCTAGATGACTGAATAATTATTGGTCACAAAACCTGCAAAGAATGTTACGTTCAGACCGAAGGCAGCAAAAACGCTCCTGCTGCTTCATCTCTGATCCTCATTAAGGTCAGACGTCCAGTAAAGTGAGTCC